TTTTTTTTTGTTTGGGGGTTCCTACTCCATCACCATGTTAATCATATTTTATAATTATTGTTGAAGTTTAGAAGGTTACATGGCATTGGGATTTTTTGAGCAGATGGTTTTGTAAACCGAAAAACATGTTCATGTTATATCGGTTTTTGTTATTGTTGGAAAAAAATTGGATATACACTTCATTGTAGTTTCATTACTAAAACGATCTAACTGTACTTGTCGCCGTGTTCAATGATGATGAAATATCTTGGCAAAATTTTTGAAACATCAATTCGAAGTATAGTCCATTTTCTGTTGTTACCACAAAGTAACTCTTTGGTTTGTAGAATGTAGAACAAATATGATTTTGTTAAATTGTATTTCCAAATTTTACATTTATTTTAAGATGTGAAGAGTACCATACCACATTGTAGTTGGTTTGTTATATGTCATAATTGTAGATGTCATATACCGGTGGTATTGGTACTTCAACTGATAATAGTCAAGGTGATGTGAAATGGCCTCCCAAAAATGAAGCCGCATTTGTGAGTGTTTTGTTGGAAGAAGTCCAGTTGGGAAACTGTGCGGCAGATAAGTTCACACCTAATCAATGGACGACCATTCTTGGAAAGTTGACAGAGTGGTGTCCTATTTACTACCCTTATAAAGTCGCCTAACTGCACAGTAAGTACCAACGTATGAAAGTCTATTGGAGAGGGTTTTACAACATACTTACCAACGCCACCGGATTGGGATGGGATAAAAAAAAAAATGGTTACGGGGAACGATGAACGTTGGACGCAATGGACAATCGTAAGTATTTTTCATCCACTATTAACATACAAATTATTTTGTAAATGTTATTGCTCTTTTGACAAGTGCTTTTTGCTTGCTATTATTGTGGTTGTATATGTTAAATAAGATGATCAATTCATGAAGGTGATTTGCTTTATTTTGCAAGTATATGTTATTGTGATTTGCTCCAGTAAAATATTACTATGGTTGCTATTACTTTGGTTGCTATTACTGTGGTTGCTCAATTCATGAGGTATATGTTACTGTGGTTGCAAGTAAACGTTATTGCTCTTTTGACAACAGTAAATATTTTTCACCACTTTTTATTGGTTCTGTTGTTGTGTTCTTCTTATCTTGTTAAAATTCCCGTGCATAGGCAAATCGAAGGGATCATGACATGGAGGGTATGGTGTGCGTGCACTATGAAGCACTGACTACTGTTTTTTACGGCACGACTGCTGCGGGGTCGATTGCGAGGGCATCAACTCAACGGGTGGCTGAGGGATGAAGCATCTACATTGACCCATCTGGAAAAGTCAGCCACAATCTTGTGGCGGAGGAAGATGACGACCCAATGGTGAACCCGACATCTCATGCACGGAATGGTAGGCAGAGATGATTCGTTCGTCCAAGGAGAGGCACAGAGTCTAGTATTGACACAACCATGTATTCGTGGTCAGACTTGAATGTATCCCATAAAGAAAGAAACAACAAACCCCCAAAGCTAACAACAACGACCTTCAAGCAATGTCAGATATGGATCTTAATCTTTTCCAATTTGTGTGCAAGAAGTTTCCGGATCCCACCAATCGAGAAATGTTTGCGGCAATTAATAGTGATGAGAGATGTTGACTTATAATTAAAATGTGGATTTATGAGAGCCCAAGTGATGAGTGAAGGGGGATGTTGAACCTTTTTTTATTGCTCTTTATTTCTTCTTGGACTTCTCTATCTTCATATTTTCTTCATGTGTACTTTGTTTAACTTTGTTTCCAAGCTACATTTGCTACTACGTGATTATGTTATAATTTGTTTGTGGACATTTGTATGTGTGTTTTTAGCAAATACATTTATTTGTAGAATGTCTTATGTAGACGATAGTGACACACACGAGGACGAAATCGATGATTTGCTTGAAGACATTGATAGTGATTTGGAGCCGGTGGAAGATTACGATCCCTTGGAAGCATCCTTAATGGTGGGGGCTCAATTTCAACACCTTGTAAACATTTTCAAGAGTTCGCCGTCTGCATTTCCCCCAATAAGAAGAACCCCCTACCAAAAATCCACCTACACGGGTTTGGACTGGGTAAATGAGCTGTTAGTTGGAAATCCACGTCGCTTTAAAGATGGAATGAGCATAAATCAATTTCATTTTAGCATCCTTTGTGACAAAATCAAATGGGCTGGATTCCACGAACAAACGAGACAGCAAAAAATAGGCATTGAAGAAAGTGTAACCATTTTTCTGCATACAATAAAAGGTCATCAAAGGCAGTGACATGCGGCTGAGACATTCAGACACTCGGGGGAGACAATTAGTCGTCATTGTCACAAAGTCATCAATGCTCTATGTCATCTAGACCATGACTACATTCGTTCCCCATACTTCAACCGTGTTGCACCGTTGATAAGAAATAATTGGAATTTATATCCCTACTTCAAGGTAAATATATCACTTTATTTTGTAATGTGTACTATAGTTATTACTTTAAGAAAATTAACTATACAGTTGAAATCGTAATTTCTAATGATAAGATTGTATTGACGCCATTGACGACACTATTATATCAGCGTGGGTGCTAGAAGGACAACAATGTCTGTACAAATGTAAGAAAGGTTATTTAGCCCAAAATGTGATGTTGGCGTGTGATTTTGACTTGAAATTCACTTTCGTCCTAGCGGGCAGGGAAAGTAGCACAAACAATGCACGTATTTTTAATCACACTATGTCAGATCCCAAATATAATTTTCCCTTTCCACCCCCCGGTAATTTGATCATGACATTATTCATATGTTACTATTTACTTAAATTAAGTTTGAATCTTTTTCATCAATTTTTTACAGACCTCCTGTAACTTCACAACATATGTTCATGCAGGTAAATTCTATGTGATGGACTCCGGATACGCAAACATCCCAGGTTTCATGACACCATATCGTGGTGAAAGATATCATCTTCCAGAGTGGTTGTGGTCTAACCAGTTTCCCGATAATGCTCGTAAGATGTTTGACAGACGACATGCCACTGTTTGTAATGTTATCGAATGCAACTTTGGTTTGCTAAAGGGAAGTTTCCCATCATAAAGGGGGTTGATGCTAAACTACAAAGTTCACTCCCAAACCGACATAGTAATAGCATGTTTTGTTCTACACAATTTTGTTCGGATGCATGAATCACTGAAACATGCCGCCTGAATTCAAGAACTCAGAATACGTACGGTGACATGATCCTGATGATCGTACTAGACCTTTTATGTCCAACAATAGTAACTCGAACCCTATCGTTCGTGAGCATTGTATACTGCGTGACACGATAGCCCAAGCCATGTGGGCGAACCGAAGATAGAACATCGTTGGGATGTTTGGACCGCACCATCTGTGTAGGGAAGACGCGGTACTCATTAGCGACGTCTGGTGACCAACGATTCTTGATTCTCCTGCCTTGGAGCCATAGTCTACACAAAGTCACGCCATACTATTAGTAATAGTGAAGAAGATTCATATACATGACATTGTTGAATTTGTCTGATGGTCGTACGTATTTAAGTTCCCATAGTACATGCAAGTTTGACTCTCATAACGATTTTCTGTCAGATCTCCACATTCTCGAGTTCTTAAATAATATCAATGTTATGGGAATTCCAAATTATCATTTGCATTTGAAGATTGGAACTCCCCCATGTCGTTTCGGGAAACGGTCATTATATGGGTCTATGTAATGCGACACGATTGGTTGTGACAACTTCCACTCATGCTCCCGCGTGTAAGATACTGATTGGGGATCAGACAAACGAGAAGGTGTTGATTCCTAGAATGACAATAACTCCTTCTGAAGTCATAATTCTTTTCAAGTTCTAGTGATGATAATTTTCCATTATCGTTTTTTACGTCATGACTATAAACATGAGCTAGAGACAATCATTATCACATGTTGGTTTATTTCTTAAGAAGTCGATTTTCAGTCATGGCCGGTTCTACCTTGATGTCTCCCATGTCACCAACCAAAGTGGTTTGAAAATATTAGTTTGTGGTGATGATAGATGCCAACAAATCAAGCAAGACATATTGTGTACAAGGAAATGTTCAATAATTTATGATTCGTCAGTTTGGTTGTGGCCTTATTATTATTATTATTATTATTATTATTATTATTATTATTATTATTATTATTATTATTATTATTATTATTATTATTATTATTATTATTATTATTATTATTATTATTACTTTATATATATATATAGATCAAGTCTATTAATTTAATTAAAGATGCTAGACATTTCAGTAAAATATATCATCTTGTGCATCGCACATGTCACGACGAGTTACAAAACAAAAGGTATAAATATTATATTTTTCTGTTGCACATTATTTATTGACTCAACCATTTTTTTTAACTCACGTTAAACTCAATTTCACTATCATCATTATCACAATATAATTAAATAATATCATTCAATCATTCTACACACCACATTAACTTTAATTAACTACTAGTATTCGACCATGTGCATTTGCACAATGTAAATAAAATTAAATATTATAAGTTTTTTGTATGCATGTAATATTAAAATTATAAGTTCAATAACAATATTATATTCCAAACATATAGTATTATAAGTTATATTTATGCATATAATAATAAAATTATAAATTAGATAATAGAATTTTATTTTAAAATTTGATAATTGGTTAGAATAAAGAGTACATACGATTTGATTGCATACGAATCACTATATTGATTGCATAAAATGTAATAAAAATATAATTTTTGTAATGTTGAGTGATCATGACCAATTAATTAGCTGAAAAATATTTAAATTTATTATAAAAATTGCTTATGTGATTTTGAGATTTTACTATGACATATAAAAATAATTTATAAAAAAACAATCCCTTAATCATATAACAAATAAAATATTAATTTTAGTGTAAAATATGATTTTATGTAACTTTTATATTCATTTAATGTAAAATATAATTACTAATTATAATATTAATTATTATTTGATTCTTTTTTTTTTGTTAAATTATTATATGATTCAATAAATAATATTATATGATTCAATAAAAAATATAGTTATTCCTCAATTAAGAAAAAAACATAATGGTTTTTGTCTTATGCTATTTTGTCTTGTTAAATTATTATATGATTCAACATAATGTAAGTAAAATTTATTAGGTTCTATTTATAAGGTTTATTTAATGATTTGCCACATAGGTAAAATTTATTAGGTAAAAATTTATTGCAAAGCTAGCAAATATATATAT